TCATTCTTTGTGGGTCTTTAATACATTTACAAAGGCAAGTGATGCAGCTCTTGCCAGGGATATAATTTGGTCAGGGATAATTTTATGCTGAAGCAAGTACTGGAAAAAAAATATTAGATATTATTATTATAATATTATTTCCAGCTGGGAGCAGGGACTGCAGCTCATCAGGGAGGTGCACCAGATTGAGCAGGGGAGGTTGCGGCCCCTCCGAGATGCTGGAATGTGCTGCCATGGGTCTGCCCTGCCAGCCCACTTCTCCTGTGGCAGGCACTGGGGAGGAGGAAAAGGGTCCTGGAACATTTGTGTATGAAATCAGCCCTGCTCTCAAAACTAGAAATAAAGAAACTCACATGCTAGTGCAGAACAGCTGGCTAAAATGAAATGGACTGGGAAAAGAGACACTGAAACAAAAAGATCCTATACATGAATGTGCTGGAGGATGGGGGAAAGGCCCATAACTAGCTACCCATATAGCCCGTGTGCCTAACATGATACAGGAAATATTCTTAAATAACTTGATGAAGGACTGGAAGGAGGGATGCAGAAATTTGCCTCAACAGGGTTACCAGTGGGCCAGTTCACAGCATCTCAACTCTTTGGCGCTGGAAGAGAAACAGAAATTTGACCTTAAGTTGGCAACAATGTTGGCTGCTACTGGGGGAGGAAAGACACCAACCAAATGAAGTGACAAGTTTGCCACGGTAAGTAAAGAAGTCGAGGATTTGGATACATTCAGAAGAACTTTTCCAAGTCTGAAACTGTAAGGACTGCTTCAAGGGAACTGATGAAGAAATCACGCTCAGGCTTCAAAAAGCAAAGGCGTGGTTTCAGTGCAACTAAACATGCTTTGGTCAAAGCAGAATATATAAAATGCCCCAAATATGTGCATTTCTTTTGGTAGATGTTTAACTGAACTCCTTCTAGACTGTCACTAAGTACTTGATATTCATGAAACTTGATCAGTTTGCCACAGGACCATGACATTTCAAAGCAGTGTTACAGATGCCTCTAAGGTTTCAGTGACTATTATAAAATTGGAAAATTACTGGAGGATGTGCCCAGCATCGAGCTTTCACTGGTGCACAGATTTTCAATAATTTGCATGTAGAGAACAAGCGAGAGGCTGCAAGAGGATGTGCTTGGAGTGATATATAATTTGAGTGTGACCCACTTCTATAATAGAATTAAACAGTGTCAAGTAGAATGCATAAAATGAACAAATCTTAAGGAAACTGAAGAGCGTGGTTCCAAATGGAGAAACTCCAGAAGAGAAACTTTTGTAGGATAAAATCATACTGGTAATACTGAAATGAAGCTACAGGCCTGGGTGCAGGACATTATGCAGCAGTATCATCATTCAAAATGAGGTCAGAAATACTCCATATAACCTGCAGTGTCCATCTGGCTTTGTGCAAGATGAGGGCCTAAAACAAAATCTACTGAGGTCAGGTAAATGTTGTCGTTCAAGACAGGAAATCCAAGTGCAAATCCTATGATAAATACAGAAAATTATGCAAGAGAATTTCAGAAGCCATAAGAGATGTGTGCTGCTGATACAGACACATTTGGACTAAAAAGGAAAGATGAATTATTAATAATTTAAACTTGTTACAAAACATGCTGAATAACAGTGTAAAGTACACTCTAAATCACAGTTCGCATGTCCTGGATTCCAGATGAGCTAATACCAGATAACAGCCTTGAATTTCACAAATGACTTATTCCAGCAATTTGCTTGAGAAATTACTTCAAGCACAGTAAAGCAAGTCCTTATTAAGCACTGCCACATGGGCTAGCAAGAAGACCATTCAGTAAATATATTAAAGAACCAGAGGTCCAGGGAAACCATGTCTAGTCTTGTAAGATTACCACAGCACATTTCTCAGTACTCCATTGAGATTTCCTGTTCAAAACCCATAGATAACTTAAGCAAGTAATGTTTAACCCTGAAATTGTTACAGTAGAGCTGTTTATCTATAAATTAATGCAAAACAAATGCTACAAACATAGCCTGAACAAGCAGCACTGCAAATGGAAGGGAAAGTCAGATTTTGGACTGATTATAAAGCTACCAACGTAACACAGAATTCTGTTATCTGCAGTGAGGTTGGACACTATAAGCCTCCCAAAGCATTTTCCCTCTTTTTGAACCAGAAGAAAACTAACCAGAACTAAGAGGCATTTTGAAAGCTGATGGGGTGACATCTTGACAGCATTTATGTCAAGACAGAGGTAACAGATTCATCTTCAAGCACTGTTTGGCAACAAAAGGTTCAAGCTATATTCATTGGCTGTAGAAAGAATGCCTACGTAGCTTGTGATGCAGCAAGAAAACATTGATAGCTACTGACTAACAGATTAGATGGCTTTAATTATGTATGCTATTAACTGACTGCTTCATTTTGTAGATGTTACATTTGCTGTTAAAAGAAATCAGGAAAGGGGTAGCAGTTGCCATGGACTTGTGCAACAAAGAGAATAATAACCCTTTGAAACTTTGATTCACGTGCCTACGCTGGAGCAGAAAATATGTTTGATCTCCTCCCAACACATCTTCATTAAAAATATCACACATCTTGACAGAATTTGGCAGATAAAATGATCTGGTGCCTCTCATTTCAATTAGTTTCAGCTTCCAACTGCTGGATCTTGTTATTATTTTGTCTACTCAGTCAAAGAGCATGCTACTATCAGATGGTTTCTCCTTGCACAGGTACTTCCACACTGTGTTCAAGTCAATTATAAACCTTCTGTTAAACACTTTCAAGCAATTGGCTTTTGTGGCACACTGTGTTTTTCGTGTTTTCCAAACTCGCAGTCATTCCTATAGCTCTTCTGCAAATCTCTTCCATCTTTCCCGCATCCTTTTTGCTAAGGATACCGGGTTAGGATATACAATAGTATATAGTAATAGTTCAGCTTTCCCCAGAGATAATCATCCTACCTTACGCTCTTATTGCATATTCCCACCAAAACAATTTCGGGATGAACTGGCACATGTAGCAGCTGCATTGCACCGAGAGCTCCTGTGCAGCTGGAGATCCCAGCAACCGTGATCCCAGAGACCTTCTCAGAGCTGCTGCTTTCCGAGAGGCAGCCTTGTGTTCTGCAAAGCTGACTGATGCTTTTGTTCCCAGTTGCACGACCTTGAATCTGTCTCCACTGAAATGTGTATAGTTTGAGCATACCAAACTCCTGTTATTTTTCTAAGTTGTGAGTGACCCATCTCATTATGTGTGGTTACACTCAGTCTTGTTTCACCTGAAAGCTTTCATGAGCTTTCAAAAGAAACTTTTTTTTTGCTAGAAATTCCCCACATTTATTGATAATTTTCAATTGCTAAATAAGACTTAGCCAGTTTCTAAAAAAAAAAAAAAATTGTTTCTTGTATTTATTCACTATATTCCAAACACTTTAATCTGATGCCGTGCTGTAGTAAGTTAAATATCACACAGATATCTGAGCATAATATAGTAACATAGCCCCCATGCAAATTAAGCTTTTAATTACATAAGCAATACTGAGCTAATTTGGCAGACCCATTGCCCATAATGTGCTGAACACCCACAACAAACCATTTACTGGCAGCCACATATAGACCAGTGTGTATTTGCAAAGGGTACTAGCAGACTTTAAATGTGTCTGTGGGCACCAAGACAACTAGCAACTATCTCACCAACAGCACTGGAACATAAATGCTTATTATCTGAGCACTTAGCTTCTCTTTTGGGACTACCCATACTTTCCTGTGTTTTGCACTCTTAGCTGTATCACACCACAGTGAGGGTGAACAAGTGGTCAAATGCATTGAAATGCTGATATGCTCGGTGGGCAAGGACCCAGACAAGCAAAAACAACCAGCCAAAAAAGAATGGAGAACAGGAGTAATACTGTTCAGTTGTAGATGTTCAGGAAGCACTGTGGTTGGGACTTAACTCTCACATCCTTCGCTTAAAGTAATTACGTGCTATGAAGCCTGCTGCTGGCAGAAAGTTGGATGGCATCTGTAGTAAGGAAGACTGGAACATTACACAGGAAATATTGGGTAACCTTATTTCCTTATTTCCTACAGTAACCTTGAGGGTTACTGCAGTGAAAATGGGAACAAGTGCAAAAGCAGAGTGCCAGGGCATATATCTAGGGGCTAATAAACAGAAACCCCGCTGTAAACGGTGAGCTAATCAGTAGAAAATTACAAAGGAGGAGAAATGCCTGGATGTATTATCTAACTGAAGGATGGCTGTGGGTCTCCCGTGTGACATAGCATGAAAAAGGCAAATACAGTCATAAAGTACTTCACGCAAGGGACTTCCAACAGGGCACTGGAACCTTCACATCACTATACAAGACACTGATCAGACCTTGTTTGGGAATTTCTCTTCCCATCTATATTTGAGAGAGGCATGTACAAACAAGAACTGGTGGCAGAAAGGGCTGCTGGATTGATAACTGATCCTACAGAGAGAAATCTGCAGGAGTAGAAAACTCATATTTAGAGAAGGAAAGGTGAGAATTTACCATTGCTTTTTGTAAGCATCAGAGAACTTAAACCAAAGGTTTAAGTTGGCTCAAAGAACATTGGCTCAAAGAACAACTGAGCAGGAATAAACACATATTAAAACGTTGATGGGCACAGATTCCAGCTACCAAAGCCTCCCACAGTGGAACAGAATAGTAGTGGAAATAACATGTGCCTCATTTTCAGAGTTTTATTATGAAATTTATTAATCTTAGAAAGCTGAAGGAATAGGAGATTCTGTGACAGTGTTACTTGTATCAATAGTGGTCTGGTCTAAGCAACCCAGAAAGGCCCTTCCCAGTTTGACTTATGGAATATGCAACCACAGTTGGGCTATTTATAACATACAACAGAAGGAACTCAGAATGAAACCAAGTCCAGACCACTTAAAACAATTCTGAAAACATGTTTTTAGTGACACAGAAAAGGGGGAACACATGAAAGCAACATTTTTCTTCTCAGACACCAAAATCCTTACCTCCCATGAGGAAGAGAAGCCCCGCCACATATTGCATAAGGCCTCGATCCCAACAGCACCCCAGCACCCCGATAATCCATCCGAAGAGGATGATGGCCACAGCCATGCCCATGAAGCCAGCTGTCATCCTGCGCAGATCTGCAGTGGGGAAGACAGAAAAACAGCATGCTTGAGAACGGAGTCTTAATCCAAAATGCTACCAAAATGCTGAGTGTTCAATGTCTGTTGGCACAGGATGGTTCGCATAAGGAAGGTCCAGAGGGAGGACAATCCATAGATTAATACAGTAGCTCGAGCTGGGGAGAGGGAGCAGGTGACCACAGAGACAAAAGTAGCGATTCACCTTGGTTCTGATTCCATGTGTGATTTTGGGATAGACACTGAGCCTCTCTGGGATGCAGTTCCCCATGTGTAAGATGGGGCTTAGCTCCCTGCCACCCAGCAGTGCTGTCTGTGAATCTCGAGAACTTCAAGATGGTGAGACACACAGTGCTCTGCTGTCAGAGACAAGAAATTGTATGCAGACTCATGACTGGGGCACAGGGCACTTTATTGCCTTCTCTTGTATCTAGATGGTGACCTTGTTAGATGATTTTTGGTGAGGAAGTTTTTGAGTGCTGCAGGAGCACAGCGAGTAGGAAAATGGCAGTAGACCAAAGTGAAGCATTCTGTGCTCTGAAAGTGGGGACAGAGTAACACATAAGATACAACTGCATGGAGTTAACCTGTATTTATTTCAGAAGTAAAGGAAAGAGGTCTTCAAGATCTAATGCAAGAAATCCTTAAATTAAGCTCTTGCTGCATCCCATATTTGCCTTCTGCCAAAAAAGGATGGGACTAGAGGGATCCCTTGTTCTACATGTGCTGGGAAAAAAATCTTCACAGCTGCTTTTGATGTGAAATCTGAGCAGGGAGACCACCTGGCAAAAATAGAATAGCCTATGAGAGCTGACAAGCATTTTTACATCCTCAAATAATGGAACAGATGGAAACATCTTCACTAACATTTCTCTGTTCCCTGTCCTTCCTCATGCATGCACACAAAGTATAAGCACTGATATGTCAAAAGTATATGTGCAGGGAAAATTCCAGCCAAGTCAGCTCTCCAAACATTTGTTTCCTTCTGAAAGCAAATTTTATTTGCATAGCAACGATTTCACTTGCTTTCAAGAAACAGAGTGCTTATGACAGAGGGAGGTGGGATTGAAAACCATGAATCAGCCACTAGTCTCTATGGCAGCTTCTCTCCTTGGCTGGTATTTCCCTGTCTCTCAGTTTCTGTTATCTTTTGCCCTTTTTCTCCAGTGGATCAGAAGAACCGCAAATACCAGCAGTGCAGGGTCAGTGGAATTTATGAACAGCGACAAATTATCATCATCGGAGATAAAAACCAAACTCCTAATCCAAAGTTCAGAGACTCTGCAAGGTCTGTAGGTGTGTTGAGACAGAATGATGCGATTCAGTGAAAAACAAGTTTACTGAGGGCTGCATTCATTGTAGTGATTCTTACAGAAGATGGAGTAGCAGAACACAACCTTTCCCTTGAAATTATAATGAGTTCTTGTAGATTGTCACTGATTTCTCCAAGGACTTTTTCTCTGACAACACAAAGATTACCAGGCCTTCAGCCCAACAGTGTCCAGTGCCCTTAAATATACATCTTGAAGTCATCCTTTTATCTTAGATTTTGTGACCGTCCCACCAAAATCAAACAAAAACTCATCACAAAACATTTGAATATATTCTAAATGGTCTGACACAGAAAAAAACCCACAACCGTTTCCTGCAGAAATTCCTACTTCCCACAGGCAGTGCTGGTCCCTTTTCCTTTGGAATTTCTCAGAGGGCTTCCTAAGACAAGCAGCAAATGTTAGTAAGCATTTCTGTCGGCAGAGCGTCTTCATGCTCTGTAATCTGTGAAAGCCTGGGCTCAGTTTGAAAGACAGACAAAAACCTAAAATGTTTACTGTTTCTGTGTCATCTTCAATAACAGCAAAACACGTCTCAGAGCTGCTGTGCAGCTGTCCATGTCAGCTCAGCAAAGCCCATCCATTTTAACTTGTGATTGCTGACTCTGGGTAATGGCACTTGCTCATCCAAATACCCTAACAATCTGCTTTTAATTTAAAAGTTCTTATTCAGCCGTGAGATGTCACTAACTCCTCAGACCTATCCCAATGACTGACTGATGGAGCCAGTCCCAGAAGGGATCACAAGCATCTCCACAAACTATCCACCAAACTAAGGGATGGTTTCCACCCCAGTTGAATGAGCATGAGTTTTACCATTGGACAGAATAGTTCAAACAGCAGGTCTGAGACTTGAAGACCCAATTTTTGAGGTTTGTTTCACTGGGCCTTTTTTTCTGCTGGAGACTGAAATGCAGCAATATCCATCAGCGTCCCAATTCTGGGCTCACATTCTCTTTTGAAAAAAATAAAGCTAACCTCTTTGATGCCTAATATCACACATTAAAAAAAAAGTCACAGTTCTTTAAGAAATCCTAGTTCTCACTAGGTTCAGTGGGCTCAGCTTATGATTGCCACTTGGTTTGTGCCGTATGGAAACCTGTTCCCCACAAGCTCATCTATTAGGGTTTGTTTACATAAAACAATACATAAAACACAAACTTTCCTTTCTGTTCAAAGCCATCTTGGTTTCTGTCCTATCATATCCCTCCTTGAAGGCATCCCTTGCAAGCGGCAGTGCTAGGAAGGAGTTGCAAAGCTGGTTTCATAAGCAGTCAGTGCTTTATCAAGAGCATCTTCCTGGTGCTCCTCAGCTGTCAGCTAGCATGAAGCTGATGTCAATATGGGGAGCAAGTCTATTCAAGTGGTTCTTTTATGGGAAAATATTTAATGGATATAATTTGTTGCAGCAGCACCCTCAGGCAATTTAGTGAGAAGGACATGGAATAGGAGCCCATCTCCTTTGGACACAAACCCACATTAATGGTAATTTTACGGTTATTGTTCTGATGGCAGGGTTTCTTGGCAAGGAAAGCATAGCAGAAAAGCAAAGACTCGTATAGTGTATTTGAAGCAATATGTATATTCTTTCTGCTAATTTAGGAAAAGAGGGTATCCTATAAATAAACAATAGCTCATCAGTAAAAATTGGTGTTTTTTTGTCCAAGTTCGATCAGCACTGACAAGACTTCCTCTAATTACATATACTGCAGTGGTAAATAATGTCATGCTTTGCCATGTAACTACTTTGTGACATTCAAACATATCCTGGGGTTGATTTTTAAATTTTCTGGTTTAGTTTTTCTTCAATTATTTTTAGATTATGACAGGTAGGATTCCCCACAGTCTTTCTTGGAAAACTTCTCTGAGTAACTGCAGAATCTCAGGATGATGGCACAACAATCCCAACCCAACTGAAGGAGTGATTATGCCAGAAAAATGCACTGTTGCATGTGATGCAGCTAAATGGAAGCTGAAATAGCAAACACACGTTACACATTCCCCTATCCCTGAGGACAGAGTCCCACAAGATTTTGTTCACTAACTCCCTGAAGAACTTGGAGTTGGCTTTCCTAAAATTTGGCATCCTGATTTTATTCTTTCTCTGTCCCATATATCTGAGGAGTGTGAACTCTACTACTGCATGGTCACTACAGTCCTGATGTCACCAATCCAATTACTTGTGTTGGTGTGCAACAGATTCCAGCTGGTCTTGTCACCTTCTTAGAGGATAATTCCTTAATTCCTTTGAAGTATTTCCCTTGAGTTTCCCTGTTGCCTTCTCATATCATCTCAGAGGTCCCTGGCTTATGGTCGTAAGATTTCAAATGTGCTTCAGTGTTGCCAGCAGGTTGAGGGCCCTCACTTCTAGTCCCTGTCCCTCTAACTTAGCTATGTCATCCCACATCTTATCATGGACAAGATCACTTATCTCCCTCCCCCTTCAAACCTAGTTTAAAACCTGCCAATGAGCCCTAGTGTCTTTTCACTAAGGACCCTCTTCTACCTTTGAAAGAGGTGAAACTCGTGATTGCCCAGTGCCATGTAGGCTATCCTGTTGTCAAAAGAAAAAGAATAGTGGCAGTGGTACCAGCCAAGAAGCCAAGTGTTTATATAGTGGATCCTCCCATTTCTTTCAGTTCTTACCCATTACAGGAAGCAGAGAGGAGAAGATGACCTGTATACTCAACTTCTTCATCAGACATCCTAAAGCTCTGAAATCCTTTCTGATAGCCCTTGAAGTAAGTATTGCTACTTCATCACTCCCCACATGGAGAAGGAGTAATGTACAATGATCTACTGGTTGTACAGGCTAGGCAGTTTCTTGGCAATGTCCTTCAGGTGATCCAGGGAGGCAGCAGACTTCTCAAAGAGCATTGGCGTACTGGGTGTTCAGTTCCCTGCTGGGAGGAGGCACCTACAACTTACACCCTTCTCTTCTTCTACCCTTCTTCACAGGAATTAAGATGTCAAAGTAGACTTTCGATGCCATGCCTATTTCACCAGTAGTCTGATTGATCTACTACGTGGATTTAGATAACCCCATCACTTGTGGGTGAATATACAGTATTCTCTTTCCACTCACATTTTTGAGGCACCTTCTTATCCTGTTTTTACAGTTAAGTGTGAATATATTCTCCTTGAGAGTATTCTACATTGCTAACACTGCTACAGGTGATGCTGCATGTAACAGAGAGATAAACTAATCCTGATTCAAAACCAGTGTGAATTATTAGGTCAGGAATTCAGATCCCCCATTCAAGTAAGCTAGAAACAACAAATTTCTTGATTAGTAACATTTGAGAAGGAACAGGGGTTGAAATAACCCAATTCCCATGACTGAAACTGAAATTGTAAGTTTGAAAGCCGCAAGCTTCATGAATCGTGATGAAAAGAGAAACATTAGCATTTTAGACAACCTCTTTAAAAGAGTCTCATAAAACAACGTGCACTTCCTAAAAGCGTTTCAGTCTTCCGCTAGAGAATATTAACTCCAAAGCTTTTCTGAAGATAATGAAAGGCAGAAGAGCTGATTAAGATCTGCTTATTTTCAAGTAGCTAGTGGAGAAGGTTCTCTCTGTCAGTTTGCAAATGCCCCTGCCCTTCATTTCACCCTGATATCTGTCCATCTGTATTTGTTATAAGCAATAAAGTATTTCATGCTGGTTA